GATTCACAGCACCTCTCTATTTCTATGGGTTACGTGATTATTTCATCGGTTACATAGATATTCCAAAGTCCATGGACCATAATAATAACAAATCCTAATTTTTCTTTTGAGAACATAATCTATGGGAGGAGATGTTTATTGAAATAAAGTCTTGTCACGGAAACACACTCAACAAAGTGAAAAAGTGGACGGAGTTTGATAACATCTATATTGGAGCTACTATGCTATATTGGAACATTATGTAGATTTTGCACTAGTGGACAGCAAACGGTGCACCTGTCTCGAGCGCAGAATTTAAAGGTTATATTAATATAATGTGATAATGATACTTATTTAGAAATATATTATCTTTATAAAATGTTAATTTTATTGGAGAAAAGATGCCAAATTCAGTTGAACCTTCTTGACAACTCACGAAAAAATCATCAAAGCAAGGTAGTTAGTGTTATGTCTGTCGTATGGAGTCGACTGCACAAAGGCATATAATTTAAAAAACTTATAATATCAAATAACTGTAGTATGAACCATGGGTAGATCCTCAGAAAGGGAGCTTTCGGATTGAATCCCCCGCCCTCTCTCCAAATTATAAAAATAATCTGTTTTTCATTGGTCCATATTAATTTCTGTTAAATGATCTCAGCTTAATATTTTCTCTTTTAAAATTATAAACCATATACAGCTAAGAAATGTAAGTACGCGTCAGCAGGGCCGACCATCCTTCCCAATGTCGATGGCGCACAAATTTTACTCCTCTTCATTCCACGAAATTTTATTGCTCTAATGTTCTTAAAAACAATGCAGGTGAGGGAAGAATTAGAAAAAAATGTAGATCATTTACAATTACACTTGATGTGGTCTCGTCCATGTTTTTACCCTTGTCTCATGGATATTACTTTTCCATTTTTTTTTTAATTTCCTCCCTCTCACAAAAACTTGCTCCAGGAATACCCCTTCTAGGCACACTTGCGTGCCAAGAAAAAATATTTGAAAGATTATACAAAAAGCATTATTGTTTCTGTAATCAACAATTTTTAAAATTTATTTATTTTTTGAACAGGCCTTAAAGGACTACTTAAACATAATTCCATATAATTACTTTCTTGTTCTTCTAGATTAATTACTGTTAAAGAAAAAAAATTAAATCCTAATTCCGCTACAGGTATAAACGTCTAAAAGATTACGTAAAATTGATGCTGAACTATTTGTACATCATTCCCCGAATTTCCTCCATAGGCGTATAAAATTTTTACCTTAAGGCAAACAAAACCTTAACCCACTAACGGATCCAGGATTTAATTTTGGGGAAGGTATTCAGCTCGAAAGATTTTTTTTTATGTATATATTACGAAAATTACTTCGGAAGAAAGAACGAAACTAAGTAGCTATATGAAATGGTGTTTAAGTGATTCTTTAAGCCATATTAACTTTAATTAGACGAACAATAATACTTTTAGGGATAATTTTTTTTCATAAAACATGGTTATATTTTACCATTTTGGGGGAACGGGAGCTTCAGCCCGAATGCTCTTCCCCCTCCCCCGTAGATCATCTTGCGCTTTAACCGAATTTTTTTTTTTTTTTAAGCAGTAGATGGAATTTGTAAGCTACTAGATCATTATCCGTAAATAATAATTAAAATCTAACTATTGTTTACCTAGGGTTCCTAATATTAATAAATCATGAAGAAATAGACCAGAAAAACTTAGTTTTATTCCATCCATCCTTACTTATACCCAGCAACTTGTTTTAGTCGACAGACTGCTTGTTTATTAAGGCATATATATTTTGGGGAGACCTTTCTATCTCGTCACGAAATTATTAATATTCATAAACGTCAGGGAAAAATCTATTTAATTATTTATTTGGTAAGAAAGAAATATCACCTTTGAGCATTTTTTTCCGTGCCAGTTTGAGTTCAGTTGTCGGAGTTACCAACGACTTAACGGAACAATGAATCGTTTCAGGCAGAGGTAATTCTCTTCCATTATTTAAAGAATATATTGAAAAATATGATACCATGAACATTTCCCATTTAAACATTCTTAATAAGCTATTAATATTAAAAAACAATTGCATCAAATGTGTTAGTTTCAAATCGGATTATTGAATCGAAAAAATATCACATAAATTTGAGCTGAATAGAATTCAAGTAATTAAGAACGTATATAAGATCAATATTACATCTTTCAATGTGAAAAGGTTCATATTTAGCTAAAAAAACCTGATGTATCATACCATACGTCTATGATAAGGTGACCAGATTTTAACATTGTAAAATTAACAAAAATAATATATAAAACTCATATCCTGGCGAAATATCCACATGGCCGCCGAAAACCGTATATTCTCTTTCCATTTCCTGCCGTTCCCTAGCTTTTCGTGCATTCTTAACAAAAATCTGGACTTTTTTAAAATGCTGCGGGACGAGGGACAAATTTTTAAAAAGTAAGACGTCTGCTCACTTTAGTCTAGAAGGTATGGTGGGGATCAAAGATTTGGTCTGTCTCCAACAATCCATGACGTATAAACCTGCATTGACGTTAATAAAACTTATTTTAAACTAAATATTTCTATTTATAAACGACCGGGTGAGGAAAATGGAATGATATTTTTTAGATAGAACTATTGTAGGCTAAAAAGATTAGATAATCAATAGTAAACTCTGGCAGTATCTAAGGTAGCTTTCCAAAACAATAATAGAACAATACAACTGAAAATATAATACAATAATAGAACAATACAATTGAAAATATAATACAATAATAGAACAATACAAATGAAAATACAATGCAGTAATAGAACAATACAACTGAAAATATAATACAATAATAGAACAATACAATTGAAAATATAATACAATAATAGAACAATACAAATGAAAATACAATGCAGTAATAGAACAATACAACTGAAAATACAATAATATAACAATACAACTTAAAATACAATAATGCAATACAATAATATAACAATACAATTTAAAATACAATAATACAATACAATACATATGAAAATACAATACATTACAATAATTGAGCAATACAATTATACAACTGAAAATACTATAATTCAACAGAAAATACAACTGAACATAGAATAATAAAATTCGAAAATACATAGTAAATATATTCTCGAGAAAATGAAACTAACAATACAATGCGAAAAGTTAATACAAAATACAACTAAAATATAATACAATCCAAAAACTGAAAATACAATACAAAATTATTCCCAATAAATAAAACATGAAAATACCATACAAAAATACATACTAAAACAGTGCGAAAATTCATACTAAAACAGTACGAAACACAACGTACAAAATACAAAAACACAATACAATACAACGATACACTAAAATAATACAGCAATAGAATACAATGAGACAATTCAATAATACAACAGTGCAACTAAAAATACTATTCGAAAAAACAATGAAAATATACTCCCGAGAAAATCCTACTAAAATTACAATAATCAAAATACAGTGTGAAAAACAATGTGAAATACCACTGTAAATACAACAACAACGAACATATAAAAATACAACCATACAACATACAACCATAAACCTGAAAATATAAAAATACGATTAGAAAATCCAATACAAATATGCTCCCAAGAAAATACTACTCAAAAGTACAACTAAAAATACAATATCAATATATTCCAGAGAAAAACAATAGAAATTTGGCGAGAACTCATTGAGGAGGCCAGGACACACTGAGGGTTGTAGAACCATTAAGATAGATAGATACAAGGGAAAAAACATGTAAAAATCGATTAAATTACAAAACAGATTTCAAAAATACTAAAATGTTATTGCGAAAATACTTCACGGAAAAATACAACACGAAAAATACAAAGAGAAATACCAACACTAAAAAAACAATAAAAATAAATGAGGAAATACATCATGAGAAATACAGTATCAGAAAAATACACTACAGAAACATTTCAAAAATACTAAAATATAATGAAAAAATACACCACGACAGAGTACTCGGTTCTGAGAAATGGATTTTGATATTTCCACTCTGGTAAGTACGCGGCAGCACTGGCGGATCTACGGGGGGGGGGAGGGCTTTCGGGCTGAAGCCCCCTCCCCCAAAATGGAAAAATATAACCATGTTTTATGGGAAAAAAATTTTAAAAATACCTCTTAAAGCATTATTGTTCGTGTAATTACATTTAAAAGTACTTAAGGAATAACTTAAACACCATTTCATATTTGTAGTTAGTTTCTTTCTGTTTTTCCAGAGTAATTATGGTTATTTTTATAAAAAAAAAGGTTTCGGGCTGAAGCCCCCCCCCCAAATTAAATCCTGGATCCGCTAGTGCGCGGCAGCAACCTCAAGGTAGCCGTCAGGGGATGGCAAAAAGAACCACGATAGGGCCCAAGTACCAGTAATTATTTTATATAATGGAATTTTGTTTTCAATCTAAAGGATATTGATACAATTTGTTAATTTGGATGTTCAAAACAAGAAATATTTTACTTGAAAAAGAGAAGAGATCGAAGTAGATTTTGTTAAAATTATGTCTACAAATTGGTTATTAAATTGTCTGAAACAATCCCTATACTCCACCGATGTATGTTACAGCTAAACAATATTATTCTTAAATGTCTAAGTTCAAGTCCGATTGTGAAATATAATTAATTATTCATTACCCTTCGATCGATTCCGAGTTGGGGAGACCCTCATAGAATACATATAGTCTCAATAAAGTGGTTATCCTTAATTAATTAATTAATAGGAAAAATCCGGTGGTTGATCATAATCTCGTTCAAATCACCTCCTTGTACAACCGTTGACCAAGAAACAGTAGTTCTATTCCTTACAAAGTACTGAAACAAAGACCTTTCATGGCTTGTAATGGTACAGGATTATATTTTTATTTAATCTAAAATTATTTAAGATTAATTGATCACCTAATCGATAATTTTAAGAATTTATTTGTTCATTATTTCTTATTATTCAATTAACGTTTACAGAAAAATGTCAGACGAGAAGTTGGCAGTACACGTAAAGGATGCCTATAAGAGATATACTCCAACGAATGTCATTCTGGATGGACTAACGATGAGAGTTCCAGAAGGCGCAATGTAAGTTATATATAACTAAATTATATAATATTGCTTCATTAAATTAAAAATAAAATTTATGTATTATAAATAAATACCGTTTTTTCAATTTTATACCTCTATTATATTTCACAATAACATATAAATTGGAGTTGATATAGAATTCATGTGATAAAAAGACTATTTAAGAATGAGATTACACTTTCGAATTACAAAAAAAAAGTTTATATTAGCTAAAAGTTGCAATAACTACCTCTGGCAAGTGTTGTGGAAATTGGTGGGGGGTGGGAATTTAAGTATATTATAGCATGACTTGTTTGATTCCATACTGTTAAACCTCTCTTAGTTTTTCTAATGCTTAAATAAAATTATAAAATGAGAACGGGCGTTTGCAATATATGCGTTGTCTGGCAACCTGATAACCTGAAGATTACAAGTTCGAGTTCCGGTGTCGGGACATGTATCTCTGGAATCGATCCCCCGCCCTCTCCCCTGGCCCGTGAAAAAAACCTATTGCCGAAGAGACAAGATAGATGAGGGGAAAAAAGGTAGTAACAAGTTTATAAAATCAAATAAAATACATTTTAAACTAAATATTTTTATTCAGAGAGCGCAGTGTTTGAGAAAAAACGGAACTATATTGGAGGCTTTCGGGCTGAAGCCTTCCCGCCACAATTTTAAAATACTACTATGTTTTACAGAAAAATATATTAAAAACTATCTCTTAATAAAGTATTCTTGTTCGTCTAATTACATTTAATAGGACTTCAAGAACCAATTAATCATATAGGTAGTTAATTTCTTTCTTTTGTTTTCAAATTAATTATCGTTATATATGTGTGAAAAAAAACTGGATCCGCTAATGCTTCCATTGAAGCAGGGATGCGCATAAGGAGATTTCATGGCAAGTTGTGCCACTAGAATTTTGGAGGGGGAACATTTCGAGGGAATTATAAACATTCGAAATGAAAAGTATCAAACCAAAAGACAAGGGCAAGCATGGGACTGTCGGCAGGATGTATAATTATATTTAACCTACGATTTTTTAAATACCACTTTCGCTTGCACTGTTTTAAGAAGGGGAGAGCAACACAATATTTTGAAAGGGGTGGGGGAAGGTTGACCTTGGGGGGGGAGATGGGCATTCCTGTTTTGAAGTTTGAAAACACAATTGTAAGCTAAAAAGGGTAAAATATTCAGAAAAAAAAATGTTATTTATTCTACTTAAATAATTTTCAGATATGGTCTTCTGGGTCCCAGTGGTTGTGGAAAGACTACCCTTCTCAGTTCAATTGTTGGCCAAAGATTGTTGGATTCTGGAAGTATTCAAGTTTCTGTCAAGCATAAGGTCCAAGTTGGTTTTATGCCCCAGGTAAATACCATTTTCCTTCGATTATTTTATGAAGAGTTTTTTTTACCTTTTCGGTCATTTCCATAATCTTTAGTTTAAGATAGCTTAAGACCTCAGGAACCATCACTTAGTCCAGGTAAGTTCCTAAACACATTGATGGTATCTTTTCCCCACTTTAGAGATGAATCTGATGCCGTCGATGAGTTCAGCTCTGATAATTTGGGATCTTGCCCTTCGCTTACCACTTTATCCATTCTTGAATACACCCATATTTAAGAAATCGAGATAACTCTAGGGGAGGTATCCAAATGATTATAAAATTGCAAAAAATGTCTAAGGCAGAAAAATAGGCAGACAATTGCATTTTATATAATTTGGAATAGAAACTTGGGTAATCAGGTTGTCTTAAATATAAAGATATATCACTTAATCTGGTTTATATTTAGGAAATCGCCTTAAATACAGAGTTCACGATCAGTGAAGTTTTTCACTTTTATGGGCGCATTTGTATGATGGCTGATGAGAAGATTGTACAAAGAGGAGACGAACTTATCAAATTCCTAGAACTGCCTCCACTGAGCAGGATAGTTGGCAGCTGCAGGTAATTCCCTTTAAAATAATGTTATTAATTTACCTTTATCAATAAACCTAGGTATATTCTATTTTTCTTTATTACATATTACATATTATAAAACAATAGACCAACAGTAAATTATAAAACTGACACTAAACATTTGGGAACACACTATATAGATATTTTAAATAAAATTAATATAGTAAAACTGGAATACAGCTATGTAACAGTCATTGAATAACAATCGTAAAAGAGTAAATAATTAGAACTAAAGTTTAATAGTATCTCCTATAGCAGACACCCAATTATTAGTCCCAGGAATGTTGATGCTACAGACAGTATATTTTTATTCTATTTATAACACATAAATTTCAAATTATAACAAAGGAGCATACTAGGCTTTAGGTAACATTTTATGTAACAACACAACATTAACGTGTATTGTAATATGCATTCTTTCTTAATTAACTCTTTCCTAGCCATAAGTTGCTATGAAAGTATAAAATTTAAATTTTGAAGATAGAAATAATTTTCCCAAAACGTTAACTTGACATGTAATTCAACATATAAACCAATTGTATATATACCCGGAAGTTTACATTGACAAAAATAAAATAATGTTATTGATTTATCTACTGTTGTTAATTTTACCTTTAACGATAAACCTAGGTCTATTATATTTTTCTTTATTACATATTTACATTCATTCCATTTCAACGAGTATGATTAAAAATTGACTCATACCAATGCATTCAATATGGAGCATGATGCAATAGGAGAAGAAATAATTTGGTGTTTTGAACTCATACTATTGTTAACTCTACTACCAAATGCAGATGTATAAAATTCTGATCAAAGCTCTTCTGTTAGTAGGATTCAATGGTTACCAAGTCCTTCTGAAAATTCCTTGATTTGACCCGAGGATATTATGAAACTGACCACCAAATACAAAAGGGAAAAAAATAATACATAACAGAATGACAAAAGCAGAATATTATAAAATAAGATAAAACAGAATATATTAATATTTACAAAGCATTATTGTTAATATTATTATTATTATACAGTATTGTTGTCGCAATGACTGTTTCTTACAAAGATAATGTATAAGTAAGATTAAAGGTTCGTTAATGTTTAAACCCTCCAAAGTAGTCATAGTAGTTTCCTAATAAATATCCATAATTATTAGGACATAACAAGTGTCCAAAAAATTTGTTACTAGCAACTGACGGATCCATGATTTCATTTTGGAGGGAGTTCCAGCCCGAAAGAATGTTTTTTTTTTAATATTACGATAATTACTTTAAAAAAAAAGAAAGAAGCTAACTACCTATGCCAAAAGGTGTTTAAGTGATTTGAATCTTGAAGTCCCATTAAATTACAAGAACAATATTACTCCTAGGGTAATTTTTAATATTTTTTTCTTAAGACATGGTAATATTTTACCATTTTGAGGGAGGAGGCTTCAGCCCAAAACCCTCCCCTCCCTGTAGATCCACCTGTGTTACTACCTGAAGTCTTAGGATACTTTTAATGAGTTAAACAAACGTCCTGCTTATGAAATTCCAGTTTCTATGTATTAAAACAATGTATTGGTACTTAAAGTTTAAATGTATCATAAAGTATCATAATTATTTAAAAAATATGTTTTTATTAGATCGAAAAGAAGTCTCGATAAAAGGAATAAATCTCTTTTGGAAACTGGCAAATCCCTGTTAAAAACTCTGGTACCTCCATTGTTTTTTCTATTTAACAAAGTAATCTCATATTATTTTGTTTAAAAAAAAAAACAATTGTTTTATGTCATTCTGATATTAGTGGATCTGATAGTGCTAAAAGATAGAATATTACTTGCTTAATAGGAAAGATATTGGTGGAAACCTGAAGAAGCACTCTTAAGATGGCAATAACTAGTACAGTTATCCTGTTTAATTTTATTATTTATTAATTTTTAAATTGATATGTTCATGATTATTTTAAAATTTATTTAAGCAATTGAACTAATTAGAATTAATTTATCATTTAGTGGAGGTCAGCAGAGAAGAATTTCTATGGCTGTCACTCTTCTACATAATCCAAAATTACTCATTCTTGATGAGCCTACTGTTGGTGTGGATCCAGTCCTGTGTAACGAGTAATTTTATACTTTTTTTTATTTTTAAATAGTTTGAAAAAATTTACGTAATGATTTAAAATAAATTTATAATTTTTGAATATTTCTTAATTTTTTGTGATCTGAATATGATTAATTAATAAATTGGTTACTTAAGCAATGTTGATGACTGAAATAATGACGTTTTACAATTTATTATTATTATTTTTTTTTTTTTTTTGTGATTATCATTTGCTGTGACTCTCTGAATGGAGAAGTTAGGTGTTAAGTTTTTGACTAATATTTTCTAGTAGTAAGTAGTTTTAGGACTTGGCACATATCTTTCCCATACTGTGGTTTATAACAAAAGTTATTCCACTGCAGGGCTAGAACTAGAGAGCGCTAAAGAGACACTTGCCCCAGACGATAGAATTTAGAGGCCGGCAAATTTTAAGCAAAATTATCTTTAACTAAATTTTAAAAAAATTCTTTTTACACTTTTTGGTTTTCCTAATTTTAATTCAGTTAATACATTGCCTGAAAAATTAAAGGTTGAATTTTATGGGAGGGGAGGTATACATTGAGAGATATCATTGAATTTTTTGTTGTCTTTAATATTGTGTTATCAACAATTGAATTAATTAATCTAATTGAAAAATTAAGTTTTTACTGAATTTAAATTAATACAGCAAATAGTGTTTTAAATATTAATTTATTTTTTTACTTTTACAGTATTTGGGAATACTTCGTAAAAGTTGTCAGAGAGGAAGGAAAGACAATAATTATAACAACACATTATATAGAAGAAGCAAAAAATTCCCATATGGTAAGTTGAATTATCCTGATATATCTGAAATATTTTAGTTTTACTTCTAAAAAAAAATTAAATAATTGTTTCAGATTGGACTTATGCGAGGTGGTATCTTACTAGCCGAGGAACCACCTCCTATTTTATTGCAGCAGTACCACTGCGATACGTTAGAAGAAGTATTTTTGAAGCTTAGTGTAAAACAGGAAAAAGAAGAACCTTTAGGGGTAATTAATAAAAAAGCTAACCAATGGCATTACTTTATTGTTTTATTAAAATTATAATCTTGTTTTGAGTGGCCTTAACTATCAAATTTATTCTAAATGATTATTTTTTGTTTTTGTCATTCTAAGAAGATTTTAATGTTTGAGAGCGAGAGGGACATGATCATAAATCTAAAATCATTATAAGTGAAGATGAAATAAATGTGAATGTTACTTGCAATGGTGACTTCTTGAATGTGTAAGCACCTATGAGTATTTAGGCATGACAGTAAGCATGGAATGAAGTATCAAACATTAGGTAAACAGTATGATTCAGAAGAGTAACCACTCAGATCACCAAATTAGCCGCATAAATGGAAAAAAAGAAACGATCTGTGCCACTAATTTAGTGCTGTATTAAAAAATTTTCCTACAAATCCTCCTGTATGGGACAGGCTGCTGGATTGTCCCTAAATATGTATTTAACAGAATGATGGCTTCACTCCTGTGGAGAATAATATGAAGAAACAAGAAGGGGTTGCATAAGAAATAAAGTCCTCAGAGAGGAATTGAAAGTGAGTATACCAGAGAAAAATAAAAGAACACTGATTTCGAATTTTGTGCAGACTCCCGGAGGATAGAAAAGTAAATAGAATGGAAATTAATCCAGTTTGGAAAAGAGAAGTAAGGACCCAGAACCATTAGCATGTAGTAGCTAGGGGAATTCGGAAGACAAAGAGGAAAAAAAATTGCCCAGATGAAAAAGTTGGCCATTCAGAAGGACAAGAGGTCAAAAGGTGGCCACTAAGTCTCCACAATGAAAGGCACTTAAGGAGGTTTGGGGGAAAAGAAGAAATAATGTTTAATAAAAATGCCTTAAGTTTTTCTAAAAGTTGTAATGGAAAGGAATTTGGAATAGTTATTGCAAGCTGTTTATTGAAACCTATTGATGAATTTATTTTATCTTTATATTTATTCTACCCAAAGAATAACTTTTGTAGTGTTACATTTTGAACATTATTTTAAAAATATTTTGAACTTATGTTGAAGGGACCAAAACCATATCCAAAAATTCAACCCAATGAACCACCAATAAAAAATGATGGAATATTTAGAAAAGAACGATTTATGGCTCAGTTAATAAAAAATATTAATTGGACAAGACGAAACTGGACGTAAGTATATATTATTGTTTTTTTCCGAATTTTTCATTTTTCTATCAAATTTTAATAAAATCACATGATGACCAAGATGGAAAAACATGTTATTTTTTTTAAATTGAGTTATGGGTGGATTAAAATTGATGAAGATAAAAACTGTACAATCTTACAAGTTGAACGTGCAAAAGATCAGTTCTGGAAATTGAAATAACTATAATGGGAAATAGATAGATTGTATCCGACTTTAAATTTAGTTTTTCCCCTTTTTTATGTATTTTGGATGCCTGTATTGTTCTTGTGTCATCACTAAAACATAAAAAAATAACTTGAAAATAGCTTTTATCATGGTACAAAATTACTATATGTCATATTTTCCAAACCATAAAATGTGAGTGACAATTTTCGATTCTGGACACAAAAAACTTTTTTAACAAACTATTATAGTATTTAGTGTTTCAATAACAATATTTTTTATTTCTGTGAGAATGGGAAATAATCTGGATTTGCAGTTTTTAAATAGTTTATAAGGCTTTCCGACATTTCCACAACACTCTGACTTTCCTTTTTCATCAACATTTTCATTATCTCATTCTATGAGTCCTGATGATAATCCACTTGCTTGGATTTAAACTTTGGCAAATCGAATAAACCATATAAAGACTAAAAATCTTGATTATTTGTCATCCTCACAATTTTAAAATAACAGTCAATGATTTATCCATCTCTTTTTTATCTATGTATATATTTTTTTATTAAAGATTAATCTGAGATTATGTATATGAATTGTAAAATAAAACAAAAAAATTTTTTTTTTTACAAGTTTTATTTTTCCTCTAGGATTACACTGTTTGTCATTTGTTTACCAGCTTTGCTATTTAGTATTATTGGACAGTTGACTACAAAAGATGGTGGAGATTTTCCAGTTGGCGATGAGCCATTAGCATTAGTCAATCTTGAATCAGATTGTAAAAACGAAACAATATATAAGTTAGCCAAAAGGTGTGTTGATACTCGGCCTTTGTCATGCAGGTATACTGATAATCTTGAACAAATTTTTAACATGGTGAGTAACTGATAATAAGGAGACAAGGAAAATTTTTCAATATTTCAATTTTGATTTGTGATATTCGTATTTAATTTATATTTTAGGATAAATATGACTCATATGATGATGCTTTGAATGCTGTGAAGAAGAGTAGAGCTTTCGGTGTTGTTGTGTTACCTGAAAATTTTACTCGTTACATGTATATAAGACTTACTGACCAAAGTTCTGCAACAGCAAAGGTTTTGGATGGTAGTACTGTAAATGTTTCATTTGATAGCACTGGTAAGAATTTTTTCTTTATAAAAGAATTTTTAATTTGTTATAAACTATTATTATAAAAATTTCCAAAACTGTTTGTAAAAATATTTATAAATTTTCTTTTATAAATATCTTTTTCAGATTTTGGTAAAGTTGTTCGATCAACACGTGAACTTAGTTTGAGGGTCCTTGAAACTATTCAAGATTTAGCTGAAGACTGTGGATTTCCAAGGAAAATGGCCGATTTACCAATCACTGTAAATCTTATTTTTATTATATCTATCTTTATTCTTAGCTAGTTTTTCAAAATATTATTTTTAATTTCTGAATGTAAATAAAAATGAACCATTTAGCTATATCATATAATGAAACCTCTCTACATTGGACAGTTAATTTGTTCAACACTTTGTTGAAAAGGTGCATATAAGCACTTATTAATCTGAATAAATTAGTGATATATTTTATGATATCTCTAAATTAAATGATTTAGAGTGATATATCAGAAAATATATCACTAGCATTGGGAAACAACAGCAGTAGATCTGACAAAATAATAACATTTCTGAAATTTAAATAATAATAATTTCTGAAAGAGTTATCATAATAATTTCTATTCATCTTTTTCTTTCATGTGATTTGTTATCCTTTTTATATGTTTTTTTTTTTTTTTTTTACTTTTTCTCCTTATTTTATTTATTCATTTATTATTATTATTCTGTTATTTATTTATTTTTTATTATTATTTATTTTATTTGTATGTGTATATTTGTTTTTATCTATTATTTTACTTTATATATTATTTTTAATTTTCATTATTCTCTTCTTTTTTTCCCCCTTTCTCTACATTAAACCTATCAGCTAAATATTTTAATAATAATATTTTTATGGATAAGGTGCCGATGACCTAGATGTTTTGTGCTTAAACATCAAAACAACCAACCAATCTGAATAAATAAAGTTTATCAACATGATTTTGAGTTCCGTTTATTCACAAAATATTTTAGGGTACTAGCTCCTGATATATTCTATATACATAAAATCATGACAATAGCCAAGTAGGTCTGAAAATATACAGAAATGAATGATCTCTTGGTAGAACCAATTTTAGAAATTAAAAATTATGTTTAAATATTTCAAAAAACATACATTAAACGTTTTTTATCCCTTGAACTTGACTGTAGTAAGCACAGCTGTGAAGATAGTTGTCACCATTGGACTACTTTCAGAATTCCGTCTAGACTATCATTGATGTGATCTTGACCCACCTGACACCTGATATTAAAACAAAATTAGAACCAATTTTAGAAATTAAAAATTATGTTTAAATATTTCAAAAAACATACGACTCATAGACTTTATGGACAAAATGTGTAATTCATAATTTTTGGAGTGATGGACTGAGGAAAATAATCATTATTGTAAATATGCACTAGAGAACGTTCTCTAACAGCTCTGAATTCCTAGCAAAGATATTTAAATATCTTAGGAAAAGTGTGACTGTGTATTCTTTGAAATGTATAATAAAGTTTTTGTTTTTTATCCATTCAGGTTGTAGAAAAACTTAATTTAGTTGAAGAAGTCCTACAGAGTATGTTACCGCCATATTTCAGTTCGTAAGTAGTACAGTTTTATTTCTTACTTATCCTTCTGTATAATTATCAATTGTAAAATTTAAAAAAAAAAAAAAGAAGTAAACTTTCATAAACTTTATATTAAAAATATTTCATAGTTTGATAATTCTCATCTCTTATGTCTTCTGAATAATTTCAGGGTTGTCTTTTATACGACAATGATGTACACTTCAACAGCAATTATAATGGAAAGGAATTCAGGATTATTTGAAAGAAGTCAAGCTGCTGGTAATTCAATATTTTCTTATAATTTTTTAAATATGATTAAACAAATAAATTTCTATGTTACATTGCTTGTTACATATAAGAAGTTGGTTGAGTCCAGTCAAAAAAATACTATTTTTATGTGTGTGACTTTTTTATCGTACTCCAACAAACTTTATGCTACAATCAACAGTATGCACACTATTATATTAAAAAAATCTGTACCACTACAACCCATGAAGGATCTTGGGTTCAATACTTTGTAAGGAAGTACTGTTTCAAGGCCAACGGTTGTGCAGGGTGGTGATCGGGTTGGAATCACGCTCAAATGCTGTTATATAACATTAAATAATTAAATGTGTTGTAATATTTTTTTCTTTTCGACATTTAATGCTTTCTGGAAATATGATATGTATGACTAAGCAATTCTTCAACTAATTAAAATTTTGTAGTCTCAGACTTCTCCAACTGTGCCTATCTTGGACTATTTCTTTCCAGCAGCTCTCAAGTTTTCTCAATCTATCCATCTTGTTTTTATCCTCCCACTTCGTCCTGGGAACTATTGAGGTATTCATTGTTGTTTATAGGCTTCGTGGTGGATTGCTCCAAGCTACATGTTCCACCCATCTTAACCTCCTTACCATCATACCGTGGGTTATTGATTTATAGTTTCTTTATGGTTCTTCCTCCTCTTATTGCTTAATTATTTCATATTGCTTTGGTTATCTTGTGGATGATTTTCTGCTCAAACTTTCAATGATTCTTTCAAGGGTAATGGTTAGTGGTCCAGGTCTCATAGCCATATATCAGAACTAGCTTTACCACAGCATTTAGCACTCTTGATTTGATATTTCTAATGATTTTTTTTAATGTTAATATATTTGAAAGAGATAAAAAAGCCCTGCTTGCGCTTGTTATTTGCTATTCTATTTGTGACTATTGCTCATTCATTGAGGTTATTGCGAAACCGAGGTATTTGAGTTTGCCCACTCTCCGAAAGAATTTCCTGTCTACCCAGATTCTGTTGTTGGGATAGAATTTTCAGTTTACTATCTTGTATTTTGTCTTATCTTCATTTTCTTGCTTCTTCATTCTGCTTCTTTTATCAGTCTTAACGACTCTCTCAGCATTCTCTTGATTGCTTCCAAGATAAGCTATAATAGATATTGAACTAGTAGAAGGTATTAATTTTTACTGCAAGAAACTTTTTTAGGAAAAATCTATTTTGTTTTTGAATGAAACCTATGATTAACCTCATTACGAACTTGTTCAAATTAGTAATAATTTCTTTGCAATAATTTTTATTACACTTTGTAAGGTTAATATTTATTCTTTTTTAGGTTTGACAATAGTAGAAATATTAATCACTCAAATTGTAATGCAATTCATGGTGATGATAGTGCAAAATATATTGAGTTTCTTCATGCTGTATGTTATCGACCAATATACAATGAGAGGTAGTATGGCATTGGGTTTCTTCTTGATTATACTCATTCAGTTTTGCGGCATGAGTTATGGTAAATACATTTGAATTAATTAACATTAAAAAAAAAATTAAAGATAAGTAGTATTCAGATACAAAAATTATATCTAATTTTTATCAATTGGAATACAATTTTTAGTTTGACAATAAGTAAAACAAGAAAAAGACAAATTTTATCAATCAAAATAAATTCCATACTTCAGTATATTACCTCCTTAGGTATTTATCTTCCTTCTTAAGTCTATTTTCAATAATTTAAGGACTTGAGAAAAAAAAATTGACTGTTTTTGAAAATATTAAACTAATCTTATTTTTTAATAATAGTTAAATTTAATAATTTATTCTGTAGTAAATTAATGTTTCTATATTTTCAGGTTTCTTTCTTTCTGTAGTTATATCAGCTGAGAAGAATGTAGCATATGCTGGAATATTTACAATTTTGTCACTTTTCATGCTTACTGGTAAAGATATTCCTACTAATTATTTTAGACAGTAATTTATGTAATCATTCCAGATTATAACATCTGCAATAGATTCACGATTTCCATTTATCCTGGATTACTACACATAATAATAGCTCAAAGGTTACACATGGGTACAGGTTTAACTCAAGAAAACAATCATTTTACTTTCTAACAAAAAGTTTTATTGAAATTTAGTTACATCCATTTTATGTATTACATTCAAAAGAACAAAAATAGCAAGAAAAATAATCATTTAAACACATTTATGACATACTTTCTTTTGATTTTCTTAAAAAATTAATTTTTTAGACTGCACACTTAATTCAGCTTTCTCTGTTTTACAACTTTGGCAGAAAGCACATCTTTCAGCTGATGATAGCCCATTAGATGTTGGTTTCAATGATAGGTCAATCTCGATGATTTCACTTATGAGGAGCCGGAGTAGAAACTGCAATGTTGGACAGATAGCCAAGATAAGGCGTTCCAACAAGTGCTGTCTGATGAGCTCTCATGCCAGGCTTTTCATAAAAGATCGTCTATCTTTGACTTTAACTTATTATTACTATTAGACCTGTCAGTATTTATATGTGTAAAAAAATAAAGTTTTAATAAAAAAACGTAGTTACACACAAACTACACAGGGGTACAAGTGTGCCCCAACCTTTTTTTTTTTCTTTTTTTTGGGGAGGTCCTCCACTTTCTCACCTTTAAGGCTATACGGGGTTTCCCCGGCCAGGGGATGTGGGTGGAGATTTAAAATACTCCCCCGGCACCAGGATGTGAACTCGTGATTATTTTTTATCATTTGTCTCACATATCAGGTTGCCAGGCAGCCTATGTGCCATGCACACGTGTTAGCCCGTTCGGCCAACCCGGCCACTAGTGTACCCCAACCCGAGCTTTTCAATTAACACAGAACGTAATTAGTTAAAACGCACTTACAGTCATGTACAACAGTGTGAGACTTTTTTATGGTCTCCCCTTCCTTGCCTTTTAGTCTACACTGATTTTTCTAGGGCCAAAAAATTATGCCGGGTTTAAAGTCCCACCGATCACCAGTCTTTGAACTCATAATTATTTGTTTATCTCAAAATGTCGGTTATCAGGTTGCCAGACAACGCATGATGCTATACACACGCATTAGCCCGCTCAGCTAACAACTTTTTAATTTTTAATAACTGTAATAGGTCTCATGCCCAGAATTAATCTTTATTTTTCCATACACATTTGTTATTCACATGGAACTTTGACCCAGAAAATGGTTGTTTTTTTTTTCTATTCTATTCTATGATGCATTAGATCGAGTTTTCCATCAGTTATAAATTTATTATATTCATTTAAAATACTAAATATAACTACAGACTTTAATAACTTCTATTAACTAACAGAAATATAACCATTTCTAAACCTTAAGTTGTATTTTATGATTTGCTTTAGTTGTTTACATTTTTTTTTTCCAGGTTCATTGTGGCCTACAGAAGCACTACATTGGCTGTTAAAACCTTTCTCAAGAATCATTCCTATAACTTTGACAGCAGAAGCTTATTACAATATATCTCTCCGTGGGTGGAATATCGCTCATTATACTGTGTACATGGGTATTGTGTATATCTTGCTCGGAACTGCTTTCTTCATTGCTCTTACATACTTAACAGTTCGATTTAATTATGGAAGTTTTACTTAAATTAAGATAATATAGGAGTGTAGATTATTGTAAATTCTTAATTTAACAATTTGTAAATAAGTCAAAATTTTATTGAACACTATCTTACTTATTAAACCATTCAATATGGCGGCCGAGCTTTTGTAGCATACTACATAATTAATGAAAAACTTTGACTTTTATTGTTATTGCCTTTTAACAATTACTTTTTTTTTGTTAAATAGAAGTTTTAAAATATTACCAAATTCCTAGTGTGTTTTTTTAGTAAAATTGAGGAAAGCACAATATCAAGCTAAGTAGATTAAAGAAAATAAGGTGTAGTAGTATATCTTATCTTACCAGTTTGACACTGAACATGAATATTTTTCTTTCATTGTTTATTTATTCATGACTTATTATATTCAGGAGTGCTTTGACATAATTATACTTTTTACTTGAATTAGTTTCATTTGTTTTTAATTTTATATAAATTAAATATTTTATTGGTTTATACTTGAGTATTATTTAAATCACTTCAGACACCTCTTTGAATACAATATGTATGCATTCTTGTATCATTTGACCATTTGATGTTCCGTGGGCTTCACATTCATTTTTAACATGCTTTTTCAGGTTGAAAAAAAAATAATGGTATCATTTTTTTCTATTTTTTTTAAAGGAATGGAATGGTGACATTAAAATAAATCTACCTCAAACACAAAAAGAAGTATTTCAATTTCAATGTCAAAAAATGTAACGAATGTTCTCAAGCTGAGGATGCGAAGTTCTTCATGCTTTGATATGATGTACTCTGTATCCATTAATTTTTAACCATGATAAATTTTACTACTGAAATTCTGGACCAACTATTAGTCCCTGTGTAATTTTAAGGCATAAAATATTACATAAAAGTTTACATTTTTCTTGCAAAACATGGTGTCACCAAAATTATGCGTAATGAATGTTAACATTATTTTATTTAATATTGTTAAATTAACATAATGGATGATAATTGCAAAATAACTAGTTTGGAGGCATTTATTTAAGGTTAAGTTTTCATATCTATCCAGCATGATCATATCAGTATTTTTGATATAAACATTTAGGAAACATGAGGAATAATTTAGCTGTTTTTCTTTTAGGCATTGCTGAAAGAAACGAAAATCACAAGTTTTATTTTTCTCATGTTGACTTGAAATATTAAACCATAAATATTTCAAGTCAACTTTTATCTTTTTTGTATTCATATCCATTATATCTTTCCGATATATTAATAAAGTCTGCTTATTTATACTGTTAGAAGAAAAACATCCTCGTTTAATAAGCTTTAAGTCCATATTAATTATGTTATGATTTAAAAAATAATTAAAAAAAGAAAACTAATATTAAAAATACTGACTATCATAGCTTATGTTTTGTTACCTGGAACATCTATGCTAATATTTGAGATCAATTTTTCTTCATAAAGTTGATATTTTTTTTCACCCGAATTGCTGTGTGGCCAAATAATATAAGAATGAACCATTAACACAATTGGCTTGATTTTTTAAAAATATTTTTAAGTATGTATTGATTTAAATTAAATTTCTAGGAATTGGACAATATATTTACTATGCAACAGACTATAACTACTCATCATAACCTGTTTACAACACTATAAATGCCCCGAAATTTGTATTTTTTTTTTGTAAACAAAATTAATTTATATTTATTTTTTTGTATGTATATGTGTGCTATATGTAACTATAATTTTCCAATAAAAGTATATTTATATAAAATCACAAATTTCTTCGAAACTGCTCTTATTTAATTTTAGAAAATAATATAATTGTTTTATTTTGTCTGTCCCTTTACAAAAATCCAAGTAATTTTATCAAACCCTATCCAGTTTCACTCATCTTTAAAATCTTAGTTTTTTAAAATGTGTTTTAAAGGTATCAACCACCAGGATCATTATTGCCTTATTTCCTCAATTATTAAATTTCATTGTCCAATTTTGCAAGTTTCAGAAAATAAATGAGTTCGTCAAAAATATTCGTATTGTCTTGTAAAATAATATGTAGGCCGTTAGGCAAGCCACAGGATATTCTCATTGGTTCATAAGCTCAGCATTCTGCCACAACCTGTTCTATAGTTAGTGAAGTTCCATAAATTTGACATGTAGGAGAAGATTCCCGTGTCATCAGGTATCCATATGCAAGGGTGCCTTAAAATCCTTACAGAAATAATAGTGCTGCCAAAGACTTTTCTTAAGTCTAAGCATAAATTAAAGGCAATGCCAGCAATTATAAATAATCAAAGAATCTCTTGAATTTTAGTTGTAAACAAGAATTTAAGAACAGCTCATAGGTTATGTATTAAAAGATATGTGATTCTCATTTACTTATTGTATTCTCTATGTAATACAGTTGTAAATTCCATTGAAATAAAAAAAAAAAAAAAAAAAAAAGATATGTGAACAATTAATACAGACCAAATTAACATCTCTTAAATATTCAATTAATCCAGATTACACATATAAAGTTGATATAATTTAATATCATATATCAATAATGGATCAAAACAGGATGAATCAAAATAAAAAATAAGTATATTTTGTATTATTTTATTAATAAATTATAAAGTTCTATACATTTGTGGTAGATGATAGCTAAACAATTTAAATCATGTTGTTCTTTGTCTGAAAAGTTAAAATTCTTACAAATGGATGAACGAGAAATTATGATACCAGGAGAATCACACCTGAAAAAGAAAAAAAAAAATCTGATATTAGTTATATTGCAGAAATGGAGTAGAAAATGCAGATTCCTTAATCTGCTCCAAAGGTGGATGGAAGATATAATGGAGATGACATATTACAAATAATTAATGATCACTTTCATAAATTACTAATGTATTAAGCTCAATACTTAAACAACACTATTTTTCCTAACTCTTAATGTATCAAATTTCAACAGAATGATAGATCACTTTGTATGACCTTCAGTTTGAATTAAAAATAAGTTTAGAGTAAATGAAGTGAACTTTTAAACATTTTGAATGCTGATTAACAATAAATAAATGAATAATAAACTAATTTTTTTTTCAGACTTACATCACTTATTCAGTAAAAATTTCTTTTTCACTCTTGTGAATAACATAAAATAATCTTTCTATGCTCATGTATGAAATAAAAACATTAAAATTTATAATTTATAAAATAAACAAGATCATGTAAGTACTCTCATCAAGTGCAAGATGAGCACACTCCAGGAGTGGCCCCAGTCTCAATTTTGAATCCCACCTGGGTCAGTTAAAATTTATTTCTCAGTGGTCCAAGGAAAGGAATCATGACTCTTCCACTCGAGTTAGTACACTTATGAACTAATAGCCAATGAAGTTTTCAATTAATTGAAGGATCAAGATGAAACAATAATACAAGTTTGTGAACCTAAAAGTTAAACACTAACAGCACCAATTACTGTCTACAGCTGTTCCTCCACCAGCTGCCACCCAAACACACCCCTGCCAGAGCAGCCTTAACGCAATCTTCCCACCTTTACTTTGGTCTGTCTCAGTTTAACAATTGGCACAGCAAATATTAATCTTTTAGGGATTCTTTCATTACTAAGCCCAACAATATTACATGCTAATTTTATTAATTTAATGTAATCATTTAAATTATATTAATTGGATATACCTCACAAAATTTGGCATCGTATAGCCACCTTTTTTTTTTTTTTGGTCCTCCCCTTCCTCGCCGTTAAGGCTATACGGGGTTTTCCCAGGCCACGGGGTATGGGCGGGGATTTAAAAGACTCCCCGGCACCGGGACACAAACTCGTGACTATTTTTGTATCATTGAGTCATATATCAGGTTGCCGGGCAACGCTGGTGCAGAGCACATGCGTTAGCCCATTCGGCCACCCCACCCACACATCGCGTAGCCATCTAAATTCTCTAGTTGACTCATCCTTCTTCAGTCTGAATATTTTATGCAATACTTAATTTTTAAAAAATCTTAGGATGCTGCTCATCCCTTAATGTAAGCGGCCATATTTCGCATACATAAAGAACTGTGAGATGATATAAAACCTTTTTTTTTTTTTTTTTTTCAAAAATAGAAAAATGTTATCGATAATCATCATCCAGTCGACCCTTCAATAAACTGAAAACTTAATCGAATACTAATTCACAGATGTCATGTCAGGATAACGGATGGACCAATATCATATCATCAACAGATTGTGTAAGCAAGAATATGGAGGCAACTGATTTCCGGACTCCTACTTTAAATGATTCAAGACAATATAATTTTCATAGTTATAACTTACATTCAATGAAACAAATAACTGTGTGAACTGACTAATAACATTTAGGTCATAGTGTGAGACAATTATTTATACCATAATAAGCATAATTAGATAACTATTTCAGAAGTGCTCTCTTATGACACGTGAGCTAAGATCACTATGATCTTAATTGGACAAGGAGTGCCTGGTTTTCGAAATTCTATCTACAAGTGTGATCGAAGTGATCTTGGTCAGCACACCATCCACATACAGGATTTCCACTTTGGTGAACTTCTTAGGGAAATTGGAAGGTTGGGAGGGGAAAAAAAGGAGTCATATGCCATAACTGTCATATAGCAAGCCTTATCACAGTTAAATATAATTTTTTAAAGAATATAAGTAAAACAGACATAAAACGATTAGTTACATATATTATTATGTATATATTCAGGTGGAAGGGATTTCTAAGTTCATCCTGAGGAGAAAATCTGACTGATCAAAAGAGAAATTAAAAAAAATATGGTGGAAACGCTGTCCAGACGGAACATTTGTGAAATAGGAGCCATAATTTATATTTTGATCAAACAGATGATTATCAAGACCTTACATACTTTTTCAGATTTCAAAGCACATGAACAACAATTATAAGAAAGTGAGGAATTTAATGTTAAATAAGTGAATAAATTGGAAAAACAAAAGAAACTTTAAAATAGTCAAGACTAACTTATTAATACAACAGAAATGACCAAAACCCATAAATTTCATGTATTAATATTGACTTATGTTTGGGTGTAAATATTATTTAAACAGTGTTAAATCGTGACGCTATTCAGAAAAATTTGGTATTGAAAAATTACATGTGGCTAAGAAAAGAAGTTCTTTATTCATTAAAAACGAAATATAACCTAACATAAAAGTTATTGCTAGGAGGGGTAATCACACACTGCACTACTTTGATGATTCCATGTTAGCTCATATGTGAAAATTGTTGAGCTAGTGATTTTCATTATTTAAAGGCATTTGTACATACTGAACATACTAGAGTCCACAAGTGTCAGGTCTAATATACAGGTGGGTCGAGATTAAACCTTAGATAGAATTCCAAAAGTAAATTGCTTTACTTGCCAAATATAAAAATAAACAACAGGACCAGTATAGTTAAGGCAAAGACTTTATGGGAGATCAATCGTCACCACACACACTGGGCGGCTTCTAGAATTCTAGGTAGTGTGATCAAAGTGGTCTAGAACTAACTGTCAACCAACTAAGATATTTATGTAATAATACCAAAAAAAGTAACATTAGAGTTATTCAATAACATATATTACCTTATAAGCTTAGATAGGCTTGATTTTAAAGTGAAGTCCAATTAATGAGAAGACTAGACACTTTAGATCCTGAACCAGATAATAAAAGCATCGTAATCCTTCTGGGTCTCTTGAATGGTTAACATCTACCAAAGATCCTGTTTTGGATGTTGTAAAAGCTATATGTTCATCTCCAATAACAATTTCAAGTTCTTGTCTACCAACCCTATCTGGTTGAGGCCATAGCGCATCATCTTCTTGCATGATTTCAGAATCAATAATAACTCTCTTCAGTTCTTCCATCACACATTTATGAACAAATGCTTCTTTGCGGATCATCGTATCATTTTTGTAATTGGAATTGTTAGCGTACCTCAACTTTCCATCAGGACGAAATTCAAACTCCAAAAACTCATGTCCAAACTTTCCTTTATGTCCAACATAATATCTAATATAAAATTCCTTAGACATTATTTAAAAATAAACTAACCAGCACTAATCTGAACTATAACACAACAGAACAGAACGAACGCGGTTTAGTTCTGAAGATGGTAATAAACTATCGATATATTTATAATTGAAAATACATCGATATATTTTCAAATAATATATTTTTCAACATTAACATAACATGAAAATGATACTATAATTATTGTTATATTAAGTGTTATAAATATTATATTATATAAAAACACTATTATCGTTTATTATTACAAATTTACATCTCACTTACATAAAGTTATGAATGGACGCATCCCTCCCAAAATGGAATTACGGACTGCATTTATTAATTCAATCCTGTTGTTTTAATCCATAATTTGATTTAAATCTAGAAATTTAACGCCGCAGATCAATAATAGTTTTTTCTATATATTTACAATATTTTAAATTAAATAATTTTTATAATATATAAATATAATAATTATATTGAATTATCTGTGTGCCTTGGCTTAAAATTTCTGTCATATAAGTCTATTTCGTATGAATAGTTTATGACCAAGTTCATTTCATTAACTTCAGAAAGTTATGTGGAAAGGAAAACATAAGGAACAATCACTAAAAAAAACGGAGATAATAGAAAGCGTTTTCAGTTTTATGTATTCATAGTTACAAAGATTTATACAAACACATTGTGTATTGAATTATTTAAAAAAAAAACTTATAATATTTCTGCATCTACGATATCTTCATTTCTTTTTTCCTGTCCTATAAGCAAATACTGGTTTTCTCCTAACCTGATCTAGGTATATAACCTGATCTAGGTATAAAACAACATATACTTGTCAGGTAGAGGAACAGTCTTTTGTTATGTCGACCCCAATATTCTTAAAAGTTTGTTCTAGTGCTTTGTTCATAGATGATTTAAACGATGCCTTTAAATAGGCAATGTCTGTGTAAAAGTTGTCTTGAGTTTTTAAGTTTAATCGGGGTTTATGGTTACTGCTAGGTGTCCTAGCATGAAGTAATAAACCGTAAAGGTTTATCGAACGCTCTAAAAATTATCAGAACGGACTTGTGGTTTGTGAAATTAGAACGTTGAAACAAATAAACTCTTTAGTTTGATATATTAGTATAGATTACACAAATTTACGATCGTTTGAAAAGAAACAAAACGATCATACTTTCAAAGCTGGAAATAAAATTGTGAGGTTTAATTTTACAATCGACCTATTCAACCGGAATCAGTCTGCCATTATCGATGGCATATAACTGCTATTATGGATGAAACTTTACAGGTTAATCAACAAAAGGTGGCCAAATGGGCTAACGCGTTGTGCTCAGCACCGCCGTTGCCCGGCAACCTGATATATGACAAATGTCTTATAAAAATAGTCACGAGTTCGCGTCCCTGTACCAAGGCGTCTTTTAAATCCCCGCCCACACCCCCTGGCCCGGGAAAACCCCGCATAGCCTTAACGGCGAGGAAGGGGAGGAACTAAAAAAATAAAATAAAAAAAAAAAATAAAATAAAAAGGTTAATCAACGATTGAAAACTCTTTAAACAGTAACGTATAACTACGCCGCTGAGTGACTTACTCAAAATTAGCATAAGTTCCAGTTCAGTTGAAGTCAGACTGTTAGCCTTTCGTGTGATATACTCGCAGTTCTCGTAATTGTATCATAATTTAGATTTAAATTGACAAAAATAAAAACAATTTTGGCACACTGTTCCATTTATCACGGTAGGTTTTACTAAATTCTTGTAAAAAATTGACGGGAATGTAGTGTTTTTCCTCAGCAACTAGTCTTTAGCAAAACATTTCTGGAATTTTCCTTGTAATAAAAACTAAAATTCATCCTTGGACTGAGACAATTAACAATAAAAAACTCTTATTGTCTTAAATAGCCCTGTTTATAACTTACAATGATAATAATCTATAGTAATCAAGAAAGTATAATATTAAAAGGTAGCAGTTAAAATCCATTTACAGATTAATATAAAAGTAACTTTTTCCTTTTTGAAATTACATTAATCCACTCTACTCAGAATATAAATTAATAATCATCGGGTTGTCTGACATTAATGCCTATGTAATACACTGTCTTCCTTGGCATAGCCTTGACTACTTTAAGATATTTCTCACCTACGTACTTTTCGGTCCGATTGTAATCTTGAAGATATAATTAGTTTTCATATACGAATATAAGTTAGATTTGTCCATTTAATTTTCCATAAATTTGTTTGCTAAAAGTTAATATTCACTAAGATAAAGATAATCTGATAAAGTTACTTTGTAGAATAGTTTTACGAATTTATCAAGGAGATTGTCTATTCAATATTTTTTTTTAGATTAAAAAGTCTAATAAAGCTGTCACGAATGTCTAGGATATGTTGTTTTTTTTTTATGACAAAACATCTTCATTTTCTTTTTTCTCATGGTTTGTAAATGAATATAGATACTTCTTTGTACACATTTTGAACTACTCGTATGGGATCGTTCAATGTATTTTGAAAAGACTAGTAAGCATGGTTTTAGTGTGAAGTTTTGTTTTGAAGATGGAAGAGTTATATTTTTGACTTCCTTCTAGCCTTCTTGGCTTGGAATTGAAATGCTTTAACGCTGATCATTGGATTTATGATAAAGAAGTTAGCAAAATTAGTAATTTCATGTTAACTTCATTAGCATATGCAATAGTCTTCCATGTTTCCTTATGTTATATATTAAAACATATTTAAGTTTCATAACTGTGCAATTTTATAGTATTAAATCATTCATTCAATATTTAATATTACTTTTTAATACACCAATCTAATATTTCTAACAAATGTCAGATGAAATAGTTTCTTTATTTCTGTAATTTTCCTTAAAACTAATTTAAGTCTTATTGTGATATGAAGCTACAATTATTCATCTTAATTTCTTTTGCAAAAAATCAATTTTTTTGTGAAATTTAATTGACAATTGTTTTATCTTTTTATGTGATAACAAAACTGCGATGGATTTAGATTCAATAAAAAATACGTCAAATCAAATTTTTTTTTTGTTCCTTGGAGGGATTTATCCATTGTGTTCGTAATTTATATTAGTTTCTGGTTTTATGTGCAGTTTGTTTTGTATTATGTGATATACTACAGCATTTTTATCCTGATAATCATTGGTTTTTAATTTTTGTGACTTGCGGTGTAATCCGAGGCCAATACAATTAGGTACTAATTCACAAGTGTTGTTTCGTAATGAGGGATAGGCATAAGATCTTGCGATCAAGTGAGTCAGGAAGTAGACAGAGGTGAACAAACACTCTGAGAGACATGGTACCTCAGACTCTTGTGGCATCTGGTTAGATAATGATTATATGGAACTATATGATAAACTGTACTAGAAGTGTCTGTAAAAAAAAATAAGGGGAAATTCAACATATTGTACTTAAAATAGATTTATATTTAATCACAGTTAATACATTAAAATTTGCTGGTTTTAGAGGCACTGAATTGGTGATGATGGAGGTCGATACTATTGTACCTGTTTCTAATGAAAAAAACAAATTAACAGTAAGTTCTCTTTTTATTTTTATGAAATTTTTTTTTTAATTTGAAGTATTTATAATAGTAAAATCTAAATTTACATATCATATAGTCTCTAAAGTTTATTTATTAATTATAAGAAGAAATGTACACTAAATGTGCATTTAGACATTTCACAAAATATGGAAAACACAATTATCTAACAACTAACAGCGACATTATTGCTAAACCAAACTATTTATTTTATTTCTCTTGATACCAATAGGAAATATGAACAACAGGTGTTGATAACCCTAGGGTTTTATGCCTCAAAGCCCAAATAATCAAACAAACCGGCAGAAAATGAAAAATATCAAAAATAAGAACAAACCAGCATAATGCAATAACTATTTATATACTTGTTTGTCCCTTAGTTTGTGAAATGTCTAAATGCACCTTAATAAGTATGAATAATAGGCTACTTTTTTATCTTATGTCTCACAATTTTATTTAAAATCGCCTAGATTGGAACGTTTCAGCAATCTATATTGCATTGATGATCACCATCAATTTTCCTGATTTTGGCATTTTTATTTTTCTAAGAAAAATTTCAGTGCTTAACATGATTAATAAAAATTAATTTATATCATTTGTTTTTAAATTAAATCACACTCATAATTACCAACAATTTTCCCTGTTTTTTTACCTTCATTTACGTATATGAAATATATAGTAAGGGTAAGTATTGCGATCGTAAAAATTTTTGAATCTGAATTTTCAACAGAAATACACGTTTTGGGGGTAACCTGAGTCCAAATAACCAAGTCCCGAAAAATTGTCTGTGTGTTTATATGTTAGCAGTCTACCTCAAAAACGAAACATCGTACGAAACTAAAATTACGTATTTAAGATAGGTATATGCCTTAGATGTGACAGCAACTTTTTCCTTAAAATCGGCTTACTGGAAGTGCCACTTTATATCAATGCTGAAACACATTTTTATAATTTTCTCAAAAATGGCTCTAACGATTTTAATTAAACTTGGTGTATCATTGTTTAATGAAGTGGTCTTTAATATCAAATAGGTCTTTATCCCTATTGATGTCACATTACAGAGCTTAAATGCCCAATGTTTATAAACATCTTTCTCTAAAGTACCTTTTATATGATTTATTTTTAATAATTAATCATTTCACAATATTAAAAGTTACAAAAAAATGCTAAACATAACTTTAAAAAGAATTTGATAATTGAATAAAGGAGAAAAAAATAAAAATGAATCTCCAGAAATACTAGTCAGAAGGTATACGTATAATATATCGTTGGAAAGCAGAGAATTTTAGAAAAAAAACAATATCCAATATAGAAAGTTGTAAAAGTTAACGTAGAGCTGCGAAAAAAATTGTAAATAATAATTTCTAAAAACTAACATTATTTAAGGTAAATCACATATTTTCAAGGAAATTAAATAAAAATTTCTTACTATATGTAAACTTTTAAATGTTTTTCTAAAATTGAAAAAAAAGTATTTAAAATCCACCGAATCAAGCCAATGCCGTTGTTTAAAATACTATTTCATTGTACTTGTGTGAAAGGAGAAGTGAAATATAAAAATATTTTATGGATATGTTTATAACCTCAAATATATTTACTATAGAGTGTTAACTCTAGGTAAGATATTATATATAAATAATTAGGTATCTATTGGCCGTTTATTCCAAAACATCATCAAGTAACCTTTTAGAAAATTAAATTTGTGAATAATTTGATGAATTTTCCCTTTGTGAAATCCCAACATTATCCACTTACAATTAGTGAGACAACTTCTAAATTTCTATTAGATAGGTAGAAATTTAGTAGATTAAATTTAGATTAGATAGATTTCTAAATGTATTTTGTATCCATAGCATTTTGTATTTTGCAGATACAAGGAATCACTGCAATAATTGTAAATTATTATTTACATTTTATATCTTTTATTCATCTTTGCAGAATAATGATCCAAGTAAATCAGACAAGAACCAACAAAAAAACAAAGATAACACTGAAAATGTTGCTCCGCAAGATTCTATGGTCGCTCAAATTCCAGCTGGTCCTGGGAATGAAGCTGGTCCAATACCCAAAATACAGTAAGTTAAAAAATAATTCTTTTAAATTAACTCATCAAAATTTACAATCAGCTCTAGTCTTGGGCTGCAAATTTCTTTTATATAAAATAAAAAATAATTATTTTTGCTTTTTTGTTATTCTTACCTCAATTCAATCAATTTAATATTATGAGTTGATTTTATTGTTTTCTAAATATATTAACTAAAATATTGTTATAAAATGTTGATTTTCTTTTTGTTATGGGGGAGAGATTATTGAAGCCATAGTTAGGCCTTTCACACATAGACAGTGCTGGATTAACATTCCAATTATACTGGAAAAATTTAAACGGAGGTGTGTAAGAGATTTATAACAGATTAGGAATCAAATTAAGTTAAATTAAATAGGTACTAAACGAAATATCAGATCCCTAATGTGGCAAAATTAGTGCTGATTACTTCAGTAAACGCAGTTACACTTATATTATCTGGTGCCTAATTGTAAAACACACTAAATTTCTACTTATTAATGAAATATTTTCTTTTGATTTTGTTCTTTCAGAAATGTCGTATGCACCGTGAACTTAGATTGCACTCTTGACCTTCAGAAAATCAATTTTCGTACCAGAAATTCTGAATATAATCCTAAAAGATTCTGTGGCATCGTCATGAGACTTCTTCACCCTCGTTCAACAGCCTTGATCTTCAGCTCTGGAAAGATTGTCGTTACTGGTGTGAAACATGAACAGCATTCAGTTCTCGCTGCTAGGAAATACGCCAGGATTTTACAAAAGTTGAATTTTCCTGTAAGTAAATTTATCATTAGCTGTCGAGCTCTGCCTCTCACAACAAATCCGGTACCGAAGATGTGATGCTTTTCATGGCAGCTATAGTAGAGTGTATGGTACTTCTTCTCCATAATTCCCTGTCCTATCCATCGGACCTCTTGGATAGCTGCTATGTCGATTCTGTATGTGTCCACTTCTGCAAAGAGCGCACGAAGTGCTCCTAGTCTATGTAATGATAAAATGTTCCAAAATCCAATTCTTAGGTCATTTAGGCGTTTCCTGGGTCTGTTACCGTAATTCAGTCCGGCTTCTTCTCTTTGAGGTTTCGTAATAAGGTATTTTAGGGGGGTGGGTTATCAGCCCACTGCCCCCGAGTCAGGTAGAGGGGCTGCCTCCTCCGAGCATCCTGACTAGCTCCCCCATCCGGGGCGGCTACCTAGGGAAGGTGACCCTAGGGTGTGTACTGTAGGTGACCTTTGTCTGTAGTGTTTAGGTGTTGTAGTGTGCTGTATAAAGTGTACTTGGTGTGTGAGTGTTCGTGTAAGTGTTCCCCCAACCTGGAGGGCCAGTGGCTGGTTGCGGTACAATGACCGGGCGATGGGCGATTTACTCCCATTAACCAAAGGTTATGCTACATTCGGCTTAGAGGAAAATTTTTTAATTTCTCTCTAATCAACTGCCATGCCCCAACAGAGGTGTCACCTGAGGAGGATAAGGAAGCATTTTATGAAGAACTTGGACGCGTGACAGAAAGCTGCCCCAAAAATGATGTTAAAATCATTCTTGGTGACTTTAACGCCCAAGTTGGTAAGGAGGTGGCACTCATGCCGACCATAGGAACCCACAGCTTGCATGAGACCAGTAATGATAATGGGCTACGGATGGTGAACTTTGCTACATTGCACGGACTGGTTGTTGGAACAACTCTTTTTCCTCGAAAGAATATCCACAAAGCAACATGGATCTCTCCAAATGGGCAAACAGCATCACAGATAGACCATGTACTCATTAGTGCCCGTCACAAGTCCAACATGATAAATGCAAGATCTTATAGAGGTGCAAATATGGACACGGATCACTATTTGAGCATTGCCGAGGTCAGATCACGAATTTCGCTGATTAAAAACCACTACCAACGACCAAAGAAGAAGATTGATGTGGTTAAACTTAAGGACTCAGACCACCAATATTCGTATCAACAAGCTGTGGAGACGAAACTTAATGAAGAAGTAATTAATGACAGCTCTATGGTCGATGAACAGTGGAAGAGATGCAGCAACGCAATGAAACAGGCAGCAGAAGAAGCTCTTGGCTACGAGACTAAATCTAGAAGGCCCCCATGGTTTGATGCTGAGTGCCTTCAAGCAGTAAAAGTGAAAAATGAAGCCTACAGAAAGAAGGTTCAGCGTCCCACAAGGCTCTCCCAAGAAACATATCGAAGAAAAAGACGCGAAGAGAAGAGATTATTCCGCGGAAAGAGAAGAGCTTGGGAAAATAAGAACATGGAGGACACAGAGGCATTGCGCGGCCAAAATGAAAGTCGGCTGTTCTTTCAGAGAATAAACGAGGGTAGGGCAGCTTTTAGGCCCAGAGTGACGGCATGCAAAGACACGAATGGAACTCTTTTAAGCCACAAAGATGACGTACTAAGGAGATGGGTACAACATTTCAAAGGCGCATTAAACAGAGGAACGGTGCCTGGAGAATTAGGTGTAATCAAGGAAGACTCCCTGAATTCTATTGAACCCCCGGATGAGGAGGAAATGGAAAACGCCCTGAGGAAATTGAAAAATGGAAAGGCGCCAGGCTCGGATGGAATCCAGTCAGAGCTGTTGAAATGTGGAGGTGAAGAATTCAAGAAAGCTCTGCATGATTTAATGCTGACCATCTGGGAGAGGGAAGCTATGCCTACGGAATGGGCAACAGCCATTATCTGCCCAATACATAAGAAAGGAGATCAAACAGAATGCGCTAACTATCGAGGAATCTCACTCCTTTCGTGTGCTTATAAGCTGCTCTCTAACATTCTTTTTGAGAGGATCCTCCCGTATTCTGAAAAGAAACTCGGGAAATATCAGGCTGGATTTCGAAGAGGGCGCTCAACCACTGATCAACTGTTCTCTCTGAGGATGATCCTAGAAAAGACTATGGAGCGTAAGGTAGTCACCCACCATTTATTCCTGGACTTTAAAGCAGCATACGACAGCGTTGATAGAACGCAACTATACTGTGCCTTGGAGGAGCTAAGCATCCCTCAGAAGCTCGTACGCCTAATCAAGATGACCATGGACAGCTCGAGATGTAGAATACGCGTCGGTTCTGACGACTCCGAAGAGTTTAAAGTGAGCAGTGGGGTTAGGCAAGGGGATGCACTCGCCTGTCTATTGTTCAACTTGGCAGAGGAGAAAGCTGTAAGAGACTCCGGTATTCAGACCAACGATATAATCTTCAATCGCCTGACACAGCTTCTTGGTTTTGCTGATGATATTGACATAATAGGTAGGTCTGAACGGGCTCTCAGAGAAGCGTTTATAGGCCTTGAAGCAGCTGCAAGACCACTTGGTCTAGAAGTCAACAAGAGGAAAACTAAGTATATGAGAGTTGGTGGTGAGGTGAATCTGAACTCTCCATTTGAGGTAGGTTCTTTTAAGTTTGAGAGAGTGAAAAGTTTTATATACCTTGGGTCTAAAATTAATAGCAAAAATGACATGGCTCAAGAAATACAAAGAAGGATCACGGCTGCCAATAGATGTGTCTTTGGACTTGGCCGACACTTAAGAAGTAGGTACCTCTCAAAGAAGACCAAGCTGATCATATACAAGACCCTTGTACGGCCTGTTTTGATATATGGCTCAGAGGCTTGGGCGATGACTAAAAAGGATGAGATGAAGCTGAGTGTCTTTGAGCGAGGAGTTCTCAGAAGGATTTATGATCCAGTAAAGGAGGGTGATGTCTGGAGGAAAAGAAAAAATAGGGAGCTCAGTTCTCTCTATGCAGACATCGATGTAGTCACGTATATTAAACTGGCCAGACTAAGGTGGGCAGGGCATGTGGCCAGAATGAGCACCGTTGAAATACCAAAAAAAATAATGATGGAGGAGCTGCACCTCGTAAGACGGGTAGGAAGGCCGAGGACAACGTGGCTTATGATGCGAGAACCCTGCTTGGTGTACGGAACTGGAGAGCTGCAGCAGAAGACAGAGCCAACTGGCGGAGGCTCTTGGAGGAGGCCCAGTCTCGGTAACGGGATGTTGTGCCACACATGAATGAATGAATGAAATTTATCATTTCATTAATAATGAGTTAAAAAACTAAGTGTTATCTTCATTGTTTGAATAAATAAAACATTTATTTCATTGTCAAGATAGAAAGTTTCAATTTAAAAATCATTTACATATGTGGTGGTCTCCTGAAAACTATATTTTACAGAGTTAAATGCATTTCGTTATGATATTAGCTTGATAATAAATTTTTTTTCTTTTCTTGAACCTAAAATTCTAGTTAGGTGTTCCCAGATTTTAAGATCCTGCTTAGTTATAAAAATAACACTAGAATATTTGTATTTATTATATATCATGTTTATTTATCTTATAGTTGATAAATTCTATTGATATAGAGAAATGAAGAATGTGGTACTTAGGTTGATCTATTTTACACTGAAAAACCTGGTGAAACCCTTAACATTGAATTACTGACAAAAAATACAACACAAAATTATTTTTGTTTGATCTTATGAAAATGGCTTGATGACTGGTTTGATACAAAAGAGTGACAGTTTTTATGGCATGACATTTATAAATTGCCAGAGAGACAGGAAAAATGTATTGCTAGCGATAGGCTATATTTTGAACAAAATATTTATTAGCATGTATATTTAGTTACTTTATAGGGCTGTTTTTCAAGGGCACTTCATGTACTTAATAGAATTATATAATATGGAAATTTCATAGATTTTTGAAAATGAGCCAATTGGCTCAAATCGTTGTTATGATTTAATTAAAAGGTAAAATTATAAGGGCAATTCAATCCTTGGAGACACCCTACATATTTATTTATATGCAATAAAAATTCTAGTTTCATATTTACACACCTCATAAACAAGAAAGATGGATCAAGTCAAGGCCCATTTGGAGAGGTTACAATAACTCTGATTTTTCTGATTCAAGTTTTGACCACATTCAATAAAAGTAGAATGCAAAGGAATTATTACTGATGTTGTTGGCATTCATCTTTTCTCAAGTTTTATTATTATGTATGACAGAAGTGATTTTCTTTTAATTTCTTTAGTGTTTTATGCTTTTGTTTATATGAATTAGTTACTTATGCATTTTATCAATAATTATATTTTTAGGTTAAATTTAAAGACTTCAAGATTCACAACATGGTAGCAACTTGTGATTTAAGATTTCCACTGAGATTAGAAAATTTGCATCAAATTCATGGTCAATTTAGCAGGTAAATAGAACAGTTATATTATGCTCAATTTTATGAGAAGGAGTTGGTCGGGGGTGTGTTCAAATAAATAGTAAATTTTAAAAAAATAGTATTTTTAATTATTACGCCGACGTTTCGACCCACCTTGCAGGTCTTCCTTCATCAGGGCTACAAAAGATACAAAATATAAAATGTACATGGTGAAAATAAAATAAATGAATTATAAGTAGATATTAAATAAGAAACCGTTGTCTGATAAAGAAATAATAAGATGACCTCAGAGATATAATGGGTGACAGTGTAGTTAAAATATCAAGTATTATATATATATATAGAGAGAGAGAGAAGATACAAACAAAAATAGAAAATAAATATGAATAAAAACAGAAAAGAAAGGAGAATATAGCGTGTAAGTTAAAAGTAAACAGATTGTGATAAAAGATAAGAAATGAGTGTTATACACATTTTCACCATGTACCTTTTATATTTTGTATCTTTTGTAGCTCTGATGAAGACCTGCAAGGTGTATCGAAATGTCGATATAATAATTAACAATACTATTTTTTAAAAATTTAGTATTTATTTGACCGTACCCCCCGATCAACTCCTCATATTATATCTCAGTCAACCATCTCTACATCATTATGCTTAATTTTTATTACATACCCTTTCTCTATTTTTGTTATTGACAGTTAAATATATTTTACTTTTAGCTATGAACCTGAATTGTTTCCTGCTCTGATATACAGAATGATCAAACCAAGAATAGTGATTCTCATTTTTGTAAATGGAAAACTTGTAATAACAGGTATCAATTTTTAACTAAAAGTGTTATCTATTATTAATGTTTCTCAATTAATTTCTTCTTGTTATTTTTGAGTATAAATTTGTATATTTTCTTAAAACAATTGATTTATAATGTTGTAATATCAGCCATAAGAGGTAGTTAGAATTTCTATTTTTTTATCATTTTAATGTCTTCCCATCCAATTTAGTTTCTGTTAGTTTTATTTTAATTTTTTATTTCCTTATCCACCATTTTTAATCCCAAGTTCTGAAATATAAAGCCTGCTCTTTCTAATGAATTGTGTAATGTGTTACCCTGGAGGGTCTCAGACTGTAACTAAAAGTGTTACAGAGTGTTGATTGTGAGATAAAAATTTTAAAACTTTTTCCTGGTTTTAACCGTGCTTTTTATTTAATTTTAAATTTAATTTAATTAACTTTCTAATATTAGGCCAGACTTGTCAGGAGTGCTTTGGATATCAGTACTCTCTACACTATTTTAGATCACGTACATAAGGGATATTTGATATACACAACTCTGACAGCTACTTATGCAGACGATACAACATTCTTAAAAAGACATTAAGATCTCTCATACATCTCAAAGACTTTATATCTCCTAACAAATCTTCATGACTGCTATAAACCTTGGATATTTGGCTCAACTAAGACAAACATAAATTCATTACATTCACTCTTTATTATGAAACTTACCACCACATTACAATGTCCAAATTTCTCCGACTGATAAACTAAGATTTCTTAGACTGAAATTTGACAGAACAATGACTTAAGGAACACGCATCAATTATAAAAGAAAAATACTAAACTCCTTAAGGCTGTGCCTGTATTAATTTCTATCAAGATGTTCAATATCGAAACTTAAACAGAATTAATGTCCTTAAACAGTAACACACAAGTATTTACTTAAACCTATTTGGACATATACTTATACACTTTTACTTTCTCGGGTATTTTTTATATCTATCGATCAACTCCCAACACCTTTGCTGTATCTACCACTGCATACAGCTCCACTCACAGAAAAAAGATCCCATGTTTCTGACCTCTATATCTCCCTCCCATAGAATTAAAACCTTAGAATGTTTCTTGCTAGCTCTTTTTCTTGCTCCAGTGTCCTCTGGAATTTCTTGCCATCTAACATCTGCCATACCTCTTCCCTGTCATCATTCCAAACAGACGCTCTGCAGTTGTGAAATTACATTTTATGAATGGAATGGCTAGATGTGCTTTTTTTTTTTTTTATTATTCTTCGGGGACCTTGTCCCAAAATAAAATTTATTTATCTATCTATATGTAGGGCACACTGTAAGACCCACTTATATAAACCACATACTTTCTAAATCTCCATTAACAGAGCTTAATATACCACCAGTTTACAACCACATTTGAAATCACTGATTTAAGATATGATCACGATTAACATCATTGATAATTCTCGTAGAAGGCTGAAAAGGAGCTAGATAAGATATATTCCTGCCTAATAAATCTCTACACTGTTCTCTAACAGCCATATTATGAGTGAAGAAACAAAGATTTTAAAAATGAATATCGTTGACTGCATGTACTGAAAATTTCCTTAAATATTAAAGCATATGTGTGGCCTTATATCAAAGACTGATATCAGTCATTTTTCAAAAGTTGAGAAAAATACAAGATTTGTAACATAGCTTCAATTATAAATCAATTCTAATGATTTTTTTTTCATTATTCACTTGAATATTTTAAAATTAAACATCAGAAACAGTTTGAATTTAACCTATAAAACAAAAATTTACTTTTTCTCCACTTTCTGAGAATAATAAATACTATGTCACTAGCCAACGTTGTTGAACATTTCTTTAATTTAATTTCTATTAATAATTGTAATTTTTATGAATAATTAATAATATTATATTAATTTATTTTTTAGGTGCAAAAAGCAGAGGAGAAATCTATGAAGGACTCGACAATATTTTTCCTATCCTTAAAAGTTATAGAAAACCTTAAAAAGATTCTGTTTTAGTGTTAGATATCAAAGTTGAGGCTGTGCATGTTATTATATTTTATTTATTCTTGTTTGTTAATTTATGGTTTTTAAAATAATTTTAGTGTGTTCATTTTTTAATATGCTGTCCAGTGTTTTTATTCTTCACAACTTCTTGTTATGTAGTATGTTGTATCAGGTGTTAATCGACGTTTGCTGGTAAAGCTATGCATTTTTAGCATTAATATATAAAATTAATGATTATTGTTTAACTATGAGAAATTTGAATAATTAAAAATAAAATGATGCAGATTGTAATTTTATATTGTTTTATCCTATAGCATAATTTATTTATTTCATTTTCAACCTTCATTACCTATTCGCAATGCGAATCAGATAAATACCTTTAAAGATAAATAGCTCAGATAAATAGCTTTAAAAAATCTTTTAAATAGTTTTCTCCTCCATATATCCAAGAAGACCTTCTTTATCTTTTATGTTATAGAAGGTCAAAATGAATATGCCTTAATTAGTGGTAGCCATCTTAAGAAAAAATTGCACAGACTACATTTGAATTTCCTCACTTGAGGAAGAAGTGAGCTCAACACAGACCAAAAACTTTCATGACAAGTTATATAGTCTTGAAAAAGATGTCGATCCCCTATACACTAGCTGTGGTGTCCCGGAAACTGTTGGACATGTGATCAATAACTGCACTGCCTTTGAGGCACTGAGGGCCAAGCTAATGAGGAGCACAAGGTGTCTACAGTATCAACAAAAAGGTTTACCTCTAATTGTCACTGCAGATAACGAACCATACTTTGAAGCATTCGTGTATGGATGGAAGTAATAGGTGCAGCCCATTTTAATATGGGAGTAAGAAGAAGACCCATAATCTCAATCCGGGGCGGCGACTCCAGGACAGAGATGAGCAAATGCTACTGTTAGTACTAAGTATTTTACTCCAATACTGACCTTTTTTAAGTTATGAAAAAATTAATTACTACTTCACTTGATGTCAAACAATCAACTGAAGTAGTGACTGAATTACCCAGTAGTGATTCAATTTGAGTAAAACACTTGGTACTCGGTACTCAGAGTAGCATTTGCCCATCTCTCTGCTCCAGGATAGAAATCAAAGAGATATAGTACAGGAAAAGACATACATTTTGTTATCTATTTACACTTAAGTTTATGTCTCACAGGTCAGTATAATAAAAGTCAAAAATTAACTTCAGATAATTATTTATTGTACGTTTCGGGAAATCTGTGTTCCTCCCTTCAACAATCTAAAAAAAATATACACTAATATATTTTAGGTTCAATTTAGAAACCAGTCATAACTAAATAAAATATTCAACACATAAACCAACTTTTCAAATAAACATTTTAAGTACTATGGATAAATTTCATTGTAGTATACAATATAATGGAATCCCATATTGTCGAAAGACAAGGAAACGAGAGGGCAATAAATAAATATGAAAAATTTCTTACCAATATACTATTCTACTTTAAATATTTATTTTTATTATTTATAAAGTAAAGTTTTAGGATCAATAATCTGCATAGTATATTAGTGAGTGGTCAAATAGTAATAAATATAGAATCAAGTAAATGGAATAAATAATTGCTCTATAATCTTAAAAATTATGGCTAAATCATTGAATTTGATGAAGTATTAAGGAAGATATGGCATACCTAAACAAAATACTTTTTAGAAATGATGTAATTTTAATCAGATATACATACATTCTGATAATATAAATCTACAGTGAACAGCCTATTCAGCGATGAGAATTTAAGTGTTTAAATACTAAGTAAGAATGGGGTAAACTATAAAGAACTTTTCACAGGAACACATTTATTAATTTTCTTCTATTATTTTTTATCATATATTTAAAAATACATAACAGGAACTATGAAAAATCCATAATATTTATATCCCTAAATACAGTTCACTGTCCTTATTATTAGATGCATTCAAAAGTCCACTTAACTCACTACATACACTTTAGAGAAACACATTTATTTGTTTTCTTCTATTATGTTTTAACATATATTTAAAAATACATAACATAACTATTACATATTTGTATTTATAAACACATTTCACTGTTGATACCTCTAGATTCATTCAAAACTTCATTCACTACATACACTTTTGAGAAACTAGCGATAAATAATTAAACTAAATTCGGTAATTTCTAATGAAAAAAAACATTGTGGGATAATGTATTGCTTAAGGCATGAAAGAATCAGACACTGTCTTAGGCTAGATAACAGTTAAGACAATATACTTCAGAAAGAAAACATTTCATAGAATTTATTACATTCAATTTTAACTTATTAACATGTTATGGAAGGTTGTGGAGGCCTGCCATGTCAAGAATTAAATAAATAAACATTTAAACAATAGAACAAGGCGAAAATAACAATTTTAGTGATCGTTTATAAGTTTTAACGAATTTTGAATAATAGTTTTTATAACTATATAAAGATAGCAGCACTACCGAACAAACCTACAGTGCCTTAATAATATTATTAAGCCACTGTAACAAACCGATTGAATAATAGTTTTAAAATACATTATAAGAGAGCAGCACCATCCAATACACATATAAAATTAAATATTAGTTGCAAAAACCGTTAAAAGAGGTCAGCACTATTCAGGGAACGAAAATGTTACGTAGTTCAAAAAAACTGTTGAAAGGTAGCAGCACAATCCAGGCTCCCATCCTAGGGAACACGAAACTCGAATGTAGTTGTTGAAACTGCCACAAGAGACCAGCACTATCCAATAAAGTATACAGTGGCTTAATAATACAGTGCGGTCATACGGATATGACGGCCATATTGGATCGGCGGGAAACTAATATTTGAATAGTCTGTCTTTGTTATTTCAATTTAAAAAGTAATTATTGCAACGAACTATTTACTAGAATGGTGTGGGAGATAGAATTGAAGCTGAACAATCTGTATGAAGCATATGAATCATTTATATCATGCGAAAATAAATAATAAAATCAAAGAACAATATTTGTTTTTTTTTCTGTTTAATTTCTTTTAAAATATATTTCAATAAACTTCGGCATATTAAGATTTCCATTGTATTCATCTTACTCTCTCATAGGCAAATTTCACAAACAAATTAATTAATTATTAAAACATTAAACAAAAACTGAGTGAAAATTAACTTTCATTGGAAAACCAGAAACTCAATTCTAAGTCATCAATCATCAAACTATTTCTTCTTAATATTCACCTTTAGAAAAAAAACTTTAAATAAATGTAAATTATTTAATCTAAATTTAATAAATACAAATTATTTAATGTAAAGTTAGTAAATATAAATTATTTAATGTAAATTTAATAAATATAAATTATTTAATGTAAATTTAATAAAAATAAATTATTTAATGTAAATTTAATAAATATAATTTATTTATATTGCTTATGACTGAATACCACAACTAGTGTTGCCCAAATGCGAGACCATGAGGTTTATTGGTCTTGTGCAAGTCTCGCAAGTCTTCCAGTTACCTATCAGCTTCTTATTATAGATATATTACTGTAATTTGTCAGACATGGGAAACCTAAGCCCAAATGAAAAATTGAGAGTTAAATTCCAAAGGATATTGGTTATACCAATTCTTTACATATGGTAACTAAATTTTTCAAGTTTTACTATTACAACTATTTCAAGGTTGACTATTTTAACTTAATTTTTATTCATAAAAAGGATTTTTTTATCAATCTTGGTCTTAGTCTTACAAGTTAGGCGGGCCTTAGTCTTGATTTTGCAAAGTATATCACCAAGACTGATTTTGGACAACACTAACTATTATAAATCCACTATAATTAAAATTTTAAATAGTTCAAAATTTGATCCTCGATGTATAGATTCATTTCTGATCATTGATATAAAATATTTTTTATGAAATGGTTTACCTCTTACCATAATGTAGATATTTTATATTGCATCTCTTATTTTATTTATTTACTTTTTTGGGAAATTAGAGATTGTTGGCTATAATATATTTTCAATTTTATCACATAGGATATACCAAGTAAAAATAACTAATATTGAAACATAAAACTGTAAGGATAAAATACAATAAATTATCAATTGATTGAAGAACTATCCAATTTAACTTGGAAAATAAAACATTTTTAATCAACAAAGGAATATAAAAAAAAAAAGATGAAACAGAATATTTATTTACAAAGAAATTTTAATTTATAAATGCTGCACATATACATTTACATATTTACTGCTAAAAAGAGACATGTGAGGGAAATTCTTTTTCTTATTGAATTTATCCTAAGTCTAAATACAATAAACCTCTTAAGAATACTATATTTAATATTGTGACAATTAAATATGTGTTCTTCATCAACAGAACTCATTTTTCTCTATGAAAAATCCTCTTAAATCACCTCTAACTGAGTTGATTTGGCTCATTTAGGTTTCGAAATTGACTTAATCCTTTAATTTGTTACTTTATTTCATTAATTTTCCTTTGTAATTCAGTGGTTATGAGAGAAAAAGATTGAAATTAAGTTTGAAACTAGATTATAGAAGATATTTTTATAGTTTGGGGCTATTAGCTGATACAATTTGTATTTTGAAGTCAGTGGTTTCAAGTATAAAATTGAAATTTGGTTTTCATTTATAGTTATTGTTACTTTCAATATTAAAAAAATATGAGTGTAGTTGATGATCTTTAAATCATAGTTTAATTTGAGTGTAGTTGATGATCCTTAAATCATAGTTTAATTTGAGTATAGTTGATGATCCTTAAATGATAATCTTGACCTTAAATGATACTCATATTTTAATGATGAAAGTAACAATAACTATAAAGGAAAACAAAATTCCAATTTTGTACTGGAAACTAATAACTTCAAGATAAAAAAATTGTGTTAGCTAATAGCCTCGAACTATAGACACTGTCTTCATACAACCAAGTTTCAAACTTGATTTTCATCTTTTTCTTTCATTACCACTGAATTAAAAAGGAAAATTAATAAAATAAAGTAAAAAATTAAAGTATACTCACAATTTTTAAGTCTACGAAGAAGAAACCAAACTTGTCACTTCAACTTTAAACACTAATATATATAGCTATTGAATAAAAAATACCTATTAATAAACTAAATCTATTACTAAAACAACACAATTAAACTTTCAAACAAAATATCACTAATAAAATATGCTTCCTGGCAACTTTTGCTGATGACACCGCTATTCTATCATCCGACTCAGATCCCAACATAGCATCCTTAAATCTCCAAAACCACCTCACCTTGATTGAGCACT